TTTTCCCTCTTCCTTTGCACTTTTCCCTTTTCCCTGTGAACTTTTCCCTTTCCCTGTGTATTTTTACCCCCTCCCTGTGCACTTTTACCCCATCCCTGTGCACTTTTCCCTTTTCTCTGTGCATTTTTAGCCCCTCCCTGTGTATTTTACCCCCTCCCTGTGCATTTTTCCCTTTCCCCTGTGCACTTTTCCCTTTCCCTGTACATTTTCCCCCCTCCCTGTGCATTTTCCCCCCTCCCAGTGCATTTTCCCTCCTCCCCAGCCCCGGTACCGTAGCAGAAGTCGCAGGAGGCTGGGCAGTGTTTCTTCATCAGCTTCCTGCGCTGCTCACAGAATCCTTTCTGGGCCCAGCCTGGGCACATGGGCAACCTGTCCTTGCAGCCTGCAACGGGAGGGGAGCTGCTGGGGAGGCTGAGGGAGCAGCCTGAGGGAAATGTCAGGGCTGGGATGGGGAGGGTCCCCACATTTCACAAGAACATTTCTGGGTTTTGCATTCCCTGAACCTCAGAGAAAGGAACAACAACTCTTATCTCATTTGTTGTGCCTGTGTTTGTGCAAAAGTAGAATGCAATGTGGAGATTGTTTACCCACAGTGATGGTGTTTGGTTCCTTGGCCTATCAGGGCAAAGTGTGCAGCCCCACATTTCTCTTCACAGAGAAAAGCAAGGCACAATTCTTACCAAGAATATTCTTATCTCATTTGCTGTGCCTGTGTTTGTGCAAAAGTAGAGTGCAATGTAGAGATTGTTTACCCACAGGGATGGTGCTTTAGTTCCTTGGTTCAGGGCCAAGTGTGCAGCCCCACATTTCTCTTCACAGAGAAAAGCAAGGCACAATTCTTCCCAAGAACATTTCTGGGTTTTGCATTCTCTGAACCTCAGAGAAAGGAACAACAATTCTTCTCTCATTTGCTGTGCCTGTGTTTGTGCAAAGGTAGAATGCAATGTGGAGATTGTTTACCCACAGGGATGGTGCTTTAGTTCCTTGGTTCAGGGTGAAGTGTGCAGCCCCACATTTCTCTTCACAGAGAAAAGCAAGGCACAGTTCTTCCCAAGAATATTTCTGAGTTTTGCATTCTCTGAACCTCAGAGAAAGGAAAAGCAATTATTATTATTTTCTGTGTTTGTGCAACAGTAGAATGCAGTATGGAGATTGTTTACCCACAGTGATGGGGTTTTGTTTCCTTGGCCTGTCAGGACAAAGTGTGCAGCCCCACATTTCTCTTCACAGAGAAAAGCAAGGCACAATTCTTCCCAAGAATGTTCTTATCTCATTTGCTGTGCCTGTGTTTGTGCAAAAGTAGAGTGCAATGTGGAGATGATTGTTTACCCACAGGGATGGTGCTTTAGTTCCTTGGTTCAGGGCGAAGTGTACAGCCCCTCATTTCTCTTCACAGAGAGAAGCAAGGCACAATTCTTCCCAAGAATATTCTTATCTCGTGTGCTTGTGCAAAAGCAGAATGCAATATGGAGATTATTTACCCACAGTGACAGAGTTTTGTTTCCTTGGCCTGTGCGGGCCTGGTGTGTGTGTGTGTGTGTGTGTGTGTGTGTGTGGACTGAGGGTGACAATCACCAGATCCTGGGCAGTTGAGTGCTTGGCAGATTCAATTTAGATAGAATGTAATATAATATAGAATAATACAGCATAACGAAGTCATTAATTAGCCTTCTGATAGCAATGCAATCCTCCTCATTTCAGATGTCCGTGCTACAGGCGCCCGAGCTGGGCTGTGGCACCAGCACTGCCCCCAGCACCCAGCTCCCATGTGGGGCAAGCCCTGCCCAGCTGAGGGTTCGGGTTGGGTTGGGGTCTCACCGTAGAGCCTGTGGATGCCCCACACCTCGTCCTGGGAAATGCTCTTCCTGCCCGTCAGCGTGGCGTTGATGTGCATCAGCGCGCGGGGGTTCAGCGAGTGCATCAGGCCCAGGGCGTGCCCGATCTCGTGGGCAGCCACGTGCACCAGGTCAGTGAGCCACACTCCTGGAGGGGAGAAACACCTGGGGCTGGTGGGCAGCAGCCTCACACCCTGCTCTGAAACCACAGCAAACCTCTGGCGCCGCAGGGCTGGCGGTTCT